CAGCCGTGTGTCCCAGGAGGGGTACGTTCTAACCCAGGACTGGAAGGACCAGCAGCTGATAAAGGGATCCCTCGTGGAGGGTACCTGGAGAACCACCCCAGCTGGGTCACCCAGCTGGCCAGTGTAGGCATGATGGACTTTGCGACCCCAGACCAAAGATAGCAGGGTCGAGAACATGTGAGGTCTGTTTGAAGCAAAGAGGCGGGCCCAGTCCTCTGATGGGACCGAAGAAACATGTTTCAGCGTCAAGCTGATACTGAGAAGGGCCGACGATCTTTTTATCATATCACGCTGTGCCTATTTTTAAATCACCGAGACGGCAGGTGACGTTCGAGGACACGTGGCTCTGGGCACGTGATCCCATCTCTCCAGCATCTACCAGGTGCAACACGGATCCGGTAACAGCGGTTTGGATACAAGTGATTGGAAATCTTAACTCTGCTGAGATGCTCAGCATGCATGGAAAAATGCTTGGCTCCTGTCCATTGCTATGAAAAGCAGTCCGTTAAGGCGTGCGGCGCTCCCATCCACTTTCCACTGCTACCTGTGGGCATGAGCTGCTTATTTGTTTGTTGTAGAGATCCTGGGTTTGGGCTCTGGGTCGCTTCCAGCTGCCCTCTTTTGGAAACCACGCCTTACTTCTGTCCGCACCACGATTTCCAATTACCATGTGGATGCCTGTTGCCCTTGGTTATCATGAAATATTACTGGCTTCATGGGGGCAATTAGTTAGGTCCCTTTGATATTTTCCATTCACAGATCTCCTTATAAATTTGGAAAAAAATGTACACGCTGCAGTTTTTACCTTGTTGCCCGAGGAAGTTTGCAGTCTTATTAACATGGTGCGCCGTCATTTATGATTCTGAAGGAAAGCAAGGGGGTTTGGCACTTCGCGAGGGACACTGATACTTCTGCAAGATGATGAAAACTTTCCACTCTGCCCAGATGCGGAGGCTGAGTCAGTGTCCCTGGCCCGCTCCCACTGTAGATTTGTCTCTGTTTGCTCGAAAAAGCAGTATTTTTCTTATTCCAGCCCTCGGACGGGGCCACGGCCCGTGACAGACACTCTTTACCGACCGAGCTCCCTTCGCTTGGACCGTAAGGACCGGGAGTTTGCTCATCAGTGGGCCTAGATGAAAGGGGGAAAGCCTACATTCTCAACGTGGGAATGTCTGGTATTGTTGTGTGAGAGATAGCTGGCCTTTGAGACCTATGCACACTCAACCACTATTTCCAAACTCCGGCCCCGCACCGGGTACCTCCTGCAGGTGCCACATGGGACGTTAGCAAAGTGAGCCTGCTACAGACAATTGGGACATGACTGCTTTCTTCCCACAGGCTCCAGGACCCTCTTGGTGCAAGGGTGGTCTCTCTGGCCACAGCTGTCGAGCTCGGCTCATCCACCGATGCCAGGAACAGGCCGAGGGAACTGTGGTTGAGCCCTGGGCGAGCCGTCTCCATCCTGCTTCTCCCAGGAGCAGAAACCAATCCACCGTCCGGGTGCTCTGCTCCAAGCAGCAGAGCAAATTCTGGACCTGCTTTCTTATTTCTTATTTCTTTCACGTTATTTTAGGAATCTTTCATCTCTGTCTACATTGCATTTAGGGGATGCAGGAACATTTGAAAAACAGGCCATCTATATATTATGGAATAACCAAACATCAGAGATTGGATGCCACATTATTATGTTATATATATATGATTTTACTGTGTGTTTGTTTTATAAATGAATCCATCGAGAATCACAGGCATTAAACAAGTTATTTAAAATCACATTACTTATTAGCAGTAGGATAAAAGTATAATTTTGTTTTCACTTAGTTCAGTGCTGTTTTCACAAAATCCACACAAACTGAATCACAAAAAAGTGGGACAGAAATGAATTAAATTGATAAGTACATTCAAGTTAGAATAAATTTCAAGGAACACCATTTCTGCAAGATATTATAACGGTTATTATGCTGTTACTCAATGTTCTATTGTCCAAAGAATTTGGACAATTCTTTAATAAAGTCAAAGGGTTTTGTTTCTCTAGGACTTCTCGATGAATCTTCAAGAGACGGAGATAGTGTGCAGAATTTTCTCGATTTATTTAGACTACTAAAACGCTTCTTGGAGCATTCTAAGGGACTGACGTTCTGAAAAACAAACCCAAAAAATCATAATTAATTAATCTCAAACACTTGGTGAGATCATTCAAGATATAGACAGGAAAAAATAAAACTGAGAGGTACCGTACAAAGTTCAACATCGAGAAGGCTGTAGCAGACCTCTTTCTGATATTCAAGAAAGCTTAAGTACTAAAACATTTTTTTTAAAGATTTTATTCATTTATTTGAGAGAGAGAATGAGAGATAGAGAGCATGAGAGGGAAGAGGGTCAGAGGGAGAAGCAGACTCCCTGCTGAGCAGGGAGCCTGATGTGGGACTCGATCCCGGGACTCCAGGATCATGACCTGAGCCGAAGGCAGTCGCTTAACCAACTGAGCCACCCAGGCGCCCAGTACTAAAACATTTTTAAGCATCTAAATATTCTAAGTACAAAACAACCCTGAGCAAAAAAAAGGCAAAGGTTCTCATGCCAATGTGACATTCTCAAAAGACCAAAAAAAAAAAAAAAAAAATGCTTAATTTTATGCACTTTATACTTCTATATTTGTATCTATATTTGTATCATGTAATGACACACAAGGTCAAATGTATACAAATTTTTAATCCACAGTTTAACATAGAGTGTGTCAATCCATATTCCATTATGTTAATTACTAAAATATATAAAATCTGGCTCAGTGAAAAATACTCAAATTTTTACTAATTAAGGGAAATACATTCATAGTTTGGTTTCAGAACAAAGCAAAATATTCACAGAAGCAAAAGTTTACTGTGTTGTCTTTTGCTTCACTCTTTACGACTTTTTATGATTTACTTGTCAGTAACCAGTCCGCGAGTTGGGGTGAGTTCTGTATCTCGCAGAGTGTTACTTGGAGAGCATGCAACACGGTGGGAAAGCACCTTATGACTTTGCCGCCATCGTGTGGATAAAAGGTTCCTAAGTGTCAGGAAAAGGCACGGCTTGAAAGGAAGGTATGTTGAGTCTTTAGATTTATTTCAGAACTTCTTATCCTGGGGCCCACAGACTCCCTACCTGTTTCTACAGGACCCCAAGCCTCCTGAAAGTGTGTGTGAATTCTCTGTGTGCGTGGGTGTGCTTCTGGGAGCTTGCGTGGTAGCCTAAAAACATAGAGAGCCAGCAAAGCTTAGGAACCATTTTCATGAGTTCTGCGATCGAAAATGTAAGCACCAAGAACAAGGGAGCGTTTTGTGGTGGAAGCAGTAGGCTCTCGACAGAAAATGCCCCAGAACAGTGAGAATGATCTGTAACACAGGTATCTTCTTTGAGGTGTCCCAGCCTTGATATTGAAGCCAACACACGTATGCTCTGGGTCGTACCTGTAATCTCGGCCAGTAACTTTTCTCTTAGTCCCTGGTGTCTTGTCTTTTAAGAGTTATCAGGAAGAACTGTCAGAAGATTGTGTGCGAGAAACAAACCTGTAAACTTTATTTTTTTTAAAGATTTTATTGTATTTATTTGACACAGAGAGAGAGCACAAGCAGGGGGAGTGGCAGGCAGAGGGAGAGGCAGGCTCCCCGCTGAGCAGGGAGCCCGACCTGTGGCTGGATCCCAGGACCCTGGGATCATGACTTGAGCTGAAGGCAGATGCTCAACCAACTGAGCCCCCCAGGAACCCCCAGACCTGTAAACCTTAAACTGCTTAGTGAATGCTCAAATTGCCATGAGACCTGGTCTTCAAAACAGTGACCTTAGGTCATTTCAGAAGAAAGTCTATCGTGTCCAGTAGTCACGAAAATCAAAAGCAGTACTTTTGCAGTGTTCTGCAAGAGCTAAAATCATGTTTTCCTTCACTCACTCCTGAAACTGAAAAGTCAGATAACTAGCGAACCACTCTCTTTAAACAAAACTGTAGTGCCCTCTGCCAAATAGCGAGCATTGTCTACAAACTCATCAGAAGACTCGTAAGAAGACCGGCCTCCACTTCTGGTCTTTGTGCTGAGATCCTGATATTGGATCTACGAGATCCATTTAATGTGACCGTGGCGGTTACCTAAGGAGGCCCAGCTGCTGTCTGCCCGGTGAATGCTCGGGCAGGCGCTGAGCCTGGTGACAACAGGCACATGGCATCTGGCCACTGTTGACCCGCAAGGACAGGCCAGGCGGGAGGGCCGGTGGCTCCAGATGGTGTCTCCTCCAGAACAAAGAGATTCCAGAATTCCCCGGTGAAGCCTTTGCTAGTGTTCCCAGTTTGGTTGTTGTTTGACTTTTGTTTTCGCTTTGTAAGATTAGACACATACTAAATTTCAACACGACTTGACTAATTCGGGTTTCTGCTTGAGCACACACTGCCAGGAGCAGATTCCGAAAACATTGTCCACCCAAATCTCCATTTGTGAGGTGCATTAAGGACTCGACGGAGCCAGAAATGCTGGTTTTCAGTGAGGAATGTTAGCACAGGCCTGTAAATACAACTCGCAGGCTGCGCTGTCTCCCGACTACACGGCCTTCCCCCTGAAGACGTCCCACACATCCCACCCAGCTCTGCGCGGCACTGCCCAAGAGACCTTTCTGGAATGATGAAAATGCACCGTGTCCACCCCGCCCACGGTGGCCATGGCCACTGACCCTTTGGAATGTGCTTAGCGTGACAGAGGACTTGAACTTTTCGTTTTATTTACTCTTAATTAATTCAAATCTCAGTGGTCACACGTGGCAAGCGACTACTGTCCTGGACACCTTGCCCTAGAGACTCCATCGTGAAGGGAAACAGTGTATGCAGTCCGGTAAGTTGCTTGGAGATCACCGTGACTTCTTGGGTACAGTTAACATGAAAGGGGCTTCAAAGTGGAGGCAGAATAAACAAGATGAACATCTTCCCTGAGGGAGGAGAGGGTGGGTGGCGTGCAGCCTTGTGTGCGGGTCCGAGCTCATGCACCCCAGCACTTGGTGGACCAGCCGAGACGCCCGTGCCAGAGCTGAGGGGCCAGCAGCTCTGTGAGGGGTACAGGTGGCGAGAGGGGGTCCTCCACCAGGCACGGGTGCTGCAGCCTGATCCGGGCAGTCCCGCCAACTGCATGGACGCGGGGAGTGCAAATTCAGAATACCAGTGGCGAGTAAACACTGACGTGGCAGAAGCCATCCAGCGTGGGCGTCAAGGTGTTTAGTGCAGAAAACTAAAGGCTGGAAGATGGTTCACTGTGTAGAAAACTAAACCCAGGGAGGCTTATTAGGGAAGCTGGTGTTCGTAGCGGGTGCCGCAGGAGATGAGAAGATACCCGGACTTCTTCAATCCCTCTGTTCCTGCAGTAATTTTAAGGTTTTTGTTTGTCTCTTGGTGTTATTCTGAACGTGACATTAATGTTTTAGAATTTTTCCATAATTTTTTCATTGAACGTTATATCTCATGTATACATGCATACATATATGTGAAAATGTGTTCAGCCATGCCTCCTAGACAGATAAATATTTAGAAATTGGTTGGGAGCACAGATGGCCCAGTTTAAGGCACCCAGTTGCAGAATCAAGAATGAAGGGAAGATACTACTGTTACTGCATTTAATTCCATATGTGCAAAATATCAGGCTAATTTTCCATTGGAAAAAATATTTTGCTTTAAGTTGGCAATATTATTTGTAGCAAACTTCAAAAGAGATGTATAAACTAGCACGAGTCTGAAGACCTAAGGAAACACAAAGTGATTTTGAAATAAAAAGTGAGTATTTTTAACATGTAAAACATTTGACACATCATTATGTCCTCTCCAGTGCCATGCTTTGCTGCATTCACAAAACTTGGTTTTATTAGATTCAACGCTGTAGTGATACCCAACGGTATTAACCAGTTCATTTGATAGTTTCAGGATTTGGCCTTGAGAAAAGTATCCAAACCTTGGAAATCAGAGAGGGGCTGTCTGCCCAGACTTTGCCATTTGCTGTTGGAACCCAGAGCCTGTAAAGTTAGCAAATTTGTAGATTTTCTGCCCAGGACAGAATAGAACTAATGTTTAAGGTTTTCCTACCCTGTAGCACATCAAGAAGTTCTGAGTCTAATCTATCAACCTTATTCAAAGATATATATATATTTTTTCAAAATGCTGATACATCTCCAGTTGCTAAAAATGTTCAGTGACCAGTTTTGCCATTAGTCATTCCTTCATTAATTAGTTGAATATAGTTTTGACTTTATGAGAGCTACATTTATTAACTTATGAAAATTACACTTTGGTGCAACAGTGGATCATATTTTAACACATTAATCAAACACGAACCAAATGGGGACAAGAGATTGGCCTCTTATCAGACTGAAGTCAACCTTCTTGAATGTGGACCATTATGTATCTCCTTCTTCTTCCCCGGGGACCTAGCTTAGAGTGTAGTGGGTACCATTACTTCTATATTAATTCATAAAAATGCCATCCAATGCCTTCCTGATTTATGAGCTTAAAACTCTGTGTGTTCCTACGGCTAAGAACTTAAGACAGCTCCATAACTTAGTTTGTTTATGATTGCAAGCAGGAGACTTGAAAGGATTCACGTGTTCTCAACATTATGAATTCACTGCTCATCTTCAAATCAGTTCTACTAGAGGCCATCTCCACCTGTACAAAGTGAACCATCTTCCAAGGTCCAGCTCAAATATTAGCCCCTTTCAGGAAGTTCCCCACACACTTGCTAAGTGAGAATTATACTCGGTTTCTGTGTTCCAGTTAGACCATACCTTCCTTAACGAGAAGGATCGTATAATAAATGCTCGTATGTACTTCATGATACTCAGCTATCTGTAAACAGTGGTGGAGCAGAAAGAGCCAGAGCTCCAGCCCAGCCGCCATGTCTGTTAGACTGCACACTCCATCCATCACATCACCTACAAAGCGAAAGCCATTTGTGAGCCTCGTCATCAAGACTGTGATGTGATCTCATGGGAAGAAAATGAGTTCTGGAGTTGGAGCTGAGTCCCCATCCTGGCTCCTCTGTTCAGTAATTGCTCCCTGATCATAAAATAGAAATGAAGAGAATCAATCTTTCATGTTACGAGAATTGAATTAGGTGGCTCTGGTAAATCATCCATCTTGAGTGGCCAGTGCCTGGTAGGTTTTCAACAAGCATTCATTCCCCATTCACAAAACTTCTCCCAGTCCCTGTGACCATTGTCATACACACTGGAGTAAATCCAAAATCAAAGGGCGTGAGTAGAGTCCTGAAGAGCCCATGTCATACATCGTATGAGCGGAGGTCAGAAAGGAGAGTCGACAGGCATCAGAAAGGTTGAATACCTCCCATTGACATCAGTGTGGATGGAACTGGAGGGTGTTATGCTGAGCGAAATAAGTCAATCAGAGAAAGACATGTATCATATGGCTTCACACATAAGTGGAATATAAGAAGCAGCGCAGAGGATCGTAGGGGAAGGGAGGGAAAACTGAATGGGAAGGAATCAGAGGGGGAGAAAAGCCACGAGAGACTCTTAACTCTAGGAAACAAACTGAGGGTTGTTGGTGGGGGAATGAGATCACTGGGTGATGTGATAAACACTGGGTGTTATACGCAACTGATAAATTATTGAACTCTACATCTGAAACTAATGATGTACCATATGTTGGCTAATTTAATTTAAATTAAAAAAAAAAAAAGAAAGGGGAGTCTCCTGCACTGAGCCTGTGATCGCCAGGTGCAGGTAACCTCAGGAGCTCAGCAGGATAAGCACAACAAGGAGTTATCCAAACACGTGGCGCTCCATCTTTCTTCTGAAGCTGCCTCTTCCGGCGCCCCCTTCCTTGTAGAACCTGCTCATCCCTGCTCTGGGTGTACCAGCTGGCAGAGGAAGGCTGCCCCTTGGCCCGTTGCTTTTCCTGCTCTTTACCCTTCTTTCTTGGATGATTTCATCAACCAGCTTTATTGTGCCCACCTTCTTTGTGATGACAAATTCCTCCCGCTTCTCTCTCTCCCGGCCTTTAGAATCCTATACTTAAATTGCTGCTGAATGAGTACACTTACGTGTCCTGACATTCCCTGAAATTCAGCGTGTCCAAAGAGAAATTCTACTTCATCTCCAACTTGGATTTTTCCTCCAATGTTCTCTATCTCAATAGTTACAATGGACGTTCCCTTAGTCCACAAAGCTAGACACCTGGTCATCAGGGGTTTGAGTGAGGATGATTTGCTACCTGCCGAGGCGTGGGCAAGGTTGAGGTCTGAGGAACCTCTCAGAGACTAGGGGAGGTGGGCAGCCACTTCGCCAGATCTGGGCTGGAGAGAGGAAATAGACATGGTCAGAGCTGGTGAGATGCAGAACCTGGAAAGAGAGAATGCCAAAGTCTTTGGCACATGCTCTTCTTCACCGAGCAAAGATGTAACCTCTCCCTGTGGAGTGTGATCTCATATCAGGAGGGAATTATTCCATTATGGAGAGAATTCCTTCCACAGCTGCCTCCCTCAGTCATGCATTTCAGACTACCTGTCTCAAGTTCCTTCTCACTATGGCACGGTTTTGCATACCCAGCCCAAAAGGTCACAGTCAGTGACAACTCATTACCCTTTCCTGGTACATCAACCTGGGTCAGTTTCTTGCCCTATGAATCTACAGAGGGAAAAGTGGTTCTAAGTCTTCCCACGGCGTGTGAACAAAGTCCTTGGGTCATCCCAGTATTGGACACCACATTTCCAATTTCTCACAGTCGGTGTTGGGTTGTTTGAGGATTCTTTGGTAATGTTCGAAAATATGTTCCCAAAATGAGCAGAATTAAAGTTTGACATACATTGCTGAAAGTGTTTCCAATTGGAGTCACCAAAGCAAATGTTTTTTGTCAAAAGCTTTTAATTCACAACGTGTGAAGGAGGAAATGCCATGGCATTTCCTCCTAAAACCATAAGAGATTTTAAACTCAGGGGCTGGTATTCCAGAGGCGCCCACGCCCTTGTCCCCAGTGGGTGTTTGCTTTGGGGGCTGAGGGAGGAAACCCACAGTTTACCATGGGGCCACGTGGATCCCTCCCTGGGTCATGCTCAATAGTCCCTGACATCTCTTTGTGAACGTTCCTCAATCTCAGAATGAACTTAGTTGAGTGACCTTCTTGCCACGCTGCATTCATTAATCACAACGTGGGTCTGAGGAACAGCACGTGGAAGACAGAAAGTATGTTGTGTTTCCAGTTTCCCTTGGAAACGAGCCCAGGAATGGACGCCTATCAGCTGCTACATGTTATCTGTTGAATAAGGCATTTCTCACACAACTCTGCCGCTGCATTGCTAAATTTAATCTGCAAGGCTTTTGATTCCAGATTCTGTTGTGCTTTCCTTCTTTTTCATAATTATATCCATCCCGGTCTTTCACACAAAGTAACAAAGATAGTTCGAAGAGTTCACATATGTGTCACTACGCCTAGATTTTTAAATACCTACCTGAATAGCAATATTGTTATTGCTATAAGTTTTTGTTATTGCTTATGTTATATATAGTATAAGATTGTTTTATCTCTGATGTAAAACCTCTAGAATTACTTCCAAGAATCCTGCTTACAATAAACTGAATTTGAGATTATAACTGTGTTCTTTATGAAACTGTTCATACATTTCTTGATCTTGAAAGTTCTAGAGCAAAATTTTAAGGAGAAAAAAAGTGTCGAGACTGAAGTTCATCCAGCTGTTTCTGGATTCCTTTGTTTGTAGAAGCTGTCGGTAATTTTTTAGAGAAAGTGGCATGAGAAAGTATGGATTGTTTCCAAAACTTGAGAGGCAAGTTAATAACATTGCTGTAGGGTAATTAAGTTACTGAACCTTATAACTATTTACTTAGGATTAAAATCTCACTTCAGTACCACACAGAAATTAGGTTGCTCACTTTGGAGTCTTTTATGAGTGAGCTGAGTGCAGCCGAGGAAGAAGCCACATCCCGGAGCGTAACCAGGAGACGCCAGGACCGTAACACAGTCGCGGGGGCTCCGGCTGGTTCTGCAGTAGCTTAGTTTGGAGTAAGGTCAGAATTCACAGCGGGACTCCAACTGAGGCCCCAGCTGCTAAGTCAGCACCTCTGCATCTGTGTTTTTAGGTTTACCTCTCTGGAGTGGCAACATGGGAAAGTCTTCCTAAAAGAGACAAGAAAGCAACATTTTCATCGAAAGAAAAAAATGAAATATTGCTTTTATGCCATCAGTCTCTAGGGGAGGATAAAGAGTAATGCTCTTGAAAACACAATTTGGTCTTGCTCAGACTTTTTAGGAGGTCAGGGCAATGGCACAGATCCTCTTTTAAAAATGGGCTCTGGCATCTCGGCAAATATGAGTCATGGCCCAGGTGTGGGACCTTGGAAATGGTCTGACCCAGAGCAGAGAACTGCTTAGAAAGCTTTTCTGGTAATAACAACTCAGGAGTGGAATGTACCCAGAAAGGGGAAATGTTAAACTCGGCTTAATCAAGCACTACTCTAATCCAAAGCTGAATATAATTTGGTCTTCCCAGACCCAAGAGGCCCATCAAGCTGATAAATCACCTACCATGGCCACAGTCAACCCAACAGAATATCTGTAAGTCATAAGACAAGAAATGAGGTACCGTCAAGGATCATTAGGGCTTCCCACTTCATATAAAACAGCTGCAGATATCGGTTTGCATAATCTTCTTCTTCCAATGAGAACACTTATATTTATAACTGGCGGAGAGAAAGGAACACCTGCAGTTAGTGACCTGGGTTCACATCCAACCTTGCCAATCTACTGGCTGTGCAACCTTGAACAAATCACATGTGATGAATCACATGGACAGAAGAGATGATACTGACAAGAAGAGCCATAAACACAGGATTTTGTGATGATTAAAAATATGCTTGGAAATACCTAGACATCTGTCCTCAAAACATAGGTTCCCTACCTAATAGTTCTGTATTTTTTTTAACTGTAAAAGTAGTGTTAAAGGCATTGATTTGGTATGGTAAAAGGTCTGGTCACCCCTCCCAGTGTGTGATGGTTTTCCACACCACCACCAATTCTCGGACACCAGCTGGGTATCCTGCAGATGTTCTCTATTCTGACATCACCTGCCTGGATTTAGCATCAGACCCCACAGGTTAAGGGCTCCATCCGATAAGACTGCCTCTCCCCGACTTCAGACATCAATGTCAAGTGCAGGTAATCACCTGTGCTTCTGTAGATCCGAGATTCCAAAGACCCCTCCTTCGGTTTGGTTAATTTGCTAGAGCAGCTCATAGAACTCACTTTCTTCCCTAGATCACCAGTTTATTATGAAAGGATAGAACTCAGGAGTAGCCCGATGGAAGAGAAGCATAGGGCAAGTTCTGGGGAAGCTTCCATGCCCCATCAGAGCACACCAGTCTCCTCTCCCTACATCTCCACGTGCTCACTGACCTGGGATCTCTCTGGACCCTGTCCTATTGGGTTTTTATGGGGATTTCATTACACGGGCATAATCGACTAAATCATTGACCATTGGTGATTGATTCCCCCTTCCCGGGACTGAGGTCAGCAGAGGAGACAAAAAGTTCCAACCTCTAAATCTGGTCGCTTTCCCTGGCAACCAGTCCCCATCCTTAGATGCTTTCCAAGCATCACTCCATTAACATAACAACAGACACCTTCATGCTCTCACCACTTAGGAAATTCCAAGGGTTTGAGGAGCTCTGTGCCAGGAATGGGGACCAAGACCAATATTTTTACATATTTTAAATTATATGTTTCTTATTATAAATCACAATATCACATGTGGCCAATGCGATCACGTATGCGAAGTGCTTTGCACCCTGCCTGGTCCAAATTGAGAGTAAGTTCTTAATACATATTCATCAGACAATAAACATACTCATAAGGAGAAGGAGAAAAGACCCCCTCCCAATGAAGTTTTATATAATTCCCAACAAAATTCCATCTTGATTCATGACATATTGTATTGTATTTTTAACTTTTATCTAAGCTGACTAAGCCTCAAAAGAGGATGACAGCGCTCGCCTAAGAATATTGCTGCACAGAATAGATAAATAAAATCCCTCATGTAAATTATTCTTCTTCATATGTGATATGATAGTAGCCCAGAATAACTGGTGTTATCATTACGACAATTGCTATTATGGCAGTAGTAAAGCATGCTCAATGAAGACAAATTTTTTAAAATACAAATAACAACAACAAAACAACAGTAAGTACCAAACTAAACATCCATCCCTCAGAAATAATCACAGCTACCATGTTCAGACTTATCAGACCTCTAAACCAGATTTTAATAAGATGTTCCCATTGGCAACTACCCAACCCACCACCAAAACAACCACCCCAAAACTTGTTAGAGGACCTGGATTTGGGTAGATTGATTGAAAAGTCATAATATACACAATGTACTAGTTATACCAGATACTGAAGCAAGGTATGAAATAATCATGAAAAAGAACCAAAGGAAAGTAAGGTGCGTGGAAAACCATGCAGAATATTGAAAAATAAAATTTCACACAAATCAACTAAGGTATGTTCCCCAGTCGCATGCCCCCCACATCCGCCCCGACACACAACCATGAAGCAGTGAAAAACTATGTCTATGTTAGTTTTCTGCTGTGCGTAGCCAACTCCTGCAAACTTACAGGATTAAATTTCTGGAGGTCAGTGTTCTGAGCAAGGGTTAGCGGAGTCTCATTACAGCTCAGCGCAAAGATCAGAGTCTCATCATCCGATCAGACCTCATCAGCTCTCGAGCCCAAAGTCCAAATTGTCACCATGGATTACCACCTAAATCCAGACCCAGTGAGGCTCTTGGGTGCAGTCCATTTCGTATAGCTCCTGAGCCACAACTGTTTTCCATCTGTGGACTAGAACTCAGCCATGTGTCCCCAGTACCCCACAGGCAGAAGACAATTGCTGGGGACGTCCTGGTTCAAGGAGGAGGGTGGTAAAAAGGAGCTCACTGGCCCATGGTCGTTCTGAAATCCAGCTGGGAATACAGGGGCTCTGGGGTAGGTTTCAGGACCTGGGAATGTTTCTCCCTGGCTCTCAGCTCTCTGGGCTCTGTGTCCCACCTGCCAAGCCATCATTGCCTCTGCACAAAAGGCAGCACAATCTTACCATTGAGTGGTTTCACCAGTCTGCTTCCTGCAAGTAGAATGTAGGGTTCCAGTAGCCTCCTGTCCCCCTGTCTCTTCTCTGCCCCTAGAGTCCAAGTTGGCTGTGTTTGTGATGAAACAATTTTCTAAAGATCTTTGTGGGTTTTCCATGGATTATACCCCATTAGACAAGAGCCACATCCACAGATCTTTCCAAGATCATTCCAACTCCATCTCTGGCACCTGCTCAGGTCCTTAAGCCTCCTGAGAGGAACACACACTTCATCTCTTTCAAGAGACCTTTGTAGGTGTGGCCGATCACATGCTCAGGCTTTTTCTTTTTCCTTTTTTCCCTTGTTTTGCTCTCACTGAGGTTTTATTAAATTGCTGTAATTCTCCAGCGAACAAGTTCATCTACATCAAATGAATTTCAAATCATGCATAAAAATCTAAGGAAATTGTTTGTGATGTTATCTTTATGTATGGGGCTAAGGATTCTAGGAATAATCCCAACAGCAACTCACTGGATGGTCCTTCTGCATATTACTCCATATCTTCTGTCTCATTTCAGACTCTCCTTTAGAATTTGTCTTCCCCAGTTTCATTATCATTTTATCTACATGGCTTCTTGTGGCTTGCAACAGAATTTCCATGGTGGGCCAAAGGTCATTAGGTTTGGAAAGATCCAAAACAAGAACAATAGAAGATGTCCATAAGGTATCACTCGTGATTGGTATGCTGATTAAGTCCAATAAAGAGGTTCCTCCACCTAGTTCCCAAAAGTGAGCAATATCTTTTGGTATATTATGCCCTTTCGTTCTTCTTCCGTATGTATATTCCAAAGCTAAGGTTGGTTTTGGTGGCTCATCCCTGTCAAGACACCTTAGAATAATAGTAGTCTTTCCCCTATTTTTACTTCCAATGAAGAAAACAGATTTTTCTCCAATTTCAAGTCCATCACCTTCACTTCCACTACTTCCACGCTCTTCCACTTCGGCTTTTGTGATTTCCCAGAGAGTTTCACTGGGCATCATGGCTCGACAGCCCCAGCATCATGGGCTCAGCATTTGGGGCCAGCTTAAAATCAGGACACCGGCGAGCTCTGAGACCTGCTGGATTGTGCGGGTGCTCAGGCTTTTCTTGATGCAAGCTTCCAGCAGCTAGTTCTCACAGTTAGGATCCTTTGACCTCTGGAGAGGCTGAGAACTTCCAGAATCACCCGGTTCTGGCTCCTTCCAACAAGTTCTTCCTTCGATGCCTCACTCCCTCTTTCATTTCACTATTGGCATCAAGAAGAAACCAGGAAGCACCTTCCACATTCTGCTCTCGCAAATCTCCTTAGCTGCTCAACCATGCCCGCTGCTTGCCAGTCCTTCTGCACACATCACTTCAGGATGCAATGCTGTCAAGGTCTCTGCCAGCACATAACAAGGACCCCCTTCCCTAGTTTCTGATCACACGAGCCTCACCTCCTTCTGAGCCATCACCTACGTGTCCTCAAAGTCCAGATTCAGCCAAGAGCCCACCCCACACATCCTCAGCTTTCTCCAAGATGTTTCTCAAAATCCTTCCACCCCTCTGTCCACAGCGCATTTCCAGAAGGACTCACACAATTCTAGCCCCTCGCATCCAGCTGCTTCTCTATTTATGCACGACAAACTATACAAACTTCCTGCCTTAAAATAACACCAGTTTATTATCTCACAGTTTCTGTAAGTGAGAAACCTAGACGCATAGTCAGGGAGTGACCTCGTGGGTCGACACGCAGCCCTGAGGCTCGATGCTGGAGAACACACACTCCTCTGCAGCACACATTCACAAAATTGGCCAAAATTGGCCATTATTAGTTGACAGAGAAAATACCAACTTTCAAAAAGGAGAGGGCTCGCTTTGGCAGCACATACACTAAAAAGGTGAAACTTTACAAACACATCCTGAGATCACAAAATGATGAAGCTAGGATTTACTAACAAAAGCCAGACATACTGATCCTTCCATCTGAAAATTAAGAAACCCCCATTAAATCACCCTGCGTGAAAGGGGAAATACAAACTGTAAAAATGATAAAAATGAAAATACTACATATTGGAATATGTGGTATAAATATAGAGCAGCGGTCAGAGGCAATGATAAACACTTTTATCAATAGAAAGGAAAGTATAAAAATAAATGAATTAAAATTCCATGTCCAAAAAAAAGAAGAAGAAGAGGTAACAAAGTAAACAAACAAACAACAAAAAAAAGTCTCAAGGAGGAAATGACAAAAGCAAAAAGGCAGAAACTAATTAGAAGGAGAGTTTAAAAAAAAATAATTAATTAAATCATGTTTTTAAATTAACAAAACAGACAAACCAAAAGCCAACTTAATTAAGAAGGAAGGGGGAAATCAGACTTAAATAAGAAATGATATGTGGAAAATAACATTTGAAAAAGCAGAATTTTCTTTAAAAATGAGGCTGTTTTGCAAATCTTTATACAAATAAGTGTGAAAATCCCAACTAAATGGAAATTTACCAGAGAACTGTAAATTACCAAAATGGCCCCATTAGATTTATAAACCAAAATGGCCCCTTTAGAGTTATAAACAGAGAAATGTGTTAAGGAACTGTCCCCAAAATAGCATGGCTCCAAATGGCTTCTGAGGGGAATTCTAGCAAAACTTCCAGGACCAGGCTGTTGTGATGCTCTATAAATAATCCCAGAACACTGGAAGAAAAGAAAAGACAACCTCCTAAATCCTTCTGTGAAGCAAGTATAACACTGATACCTAACCAGGAAGGACCCTGCAAAGGAGCAAAACTACAGACAAATATCACCCCCGAATATCTAGGTACCATGTCTCCGCAAAACCTGAGAGAGCAGAATCCAACACCACATTCAGAAAATAATATGCCACAACCAAGTAGAATGTGCAATATTGATTCTATATTGGGAAATCCTTATATATCATACAATATATTAATCAATCTAGTAAAAGTATATAATTATCTCAGTAGGTGTTGAGAACACCCTTGTCAAAATTCAACCTCTACTCATGATAAAAATAAAAAAACTTCACAAGAATAGAAGACTAAGAAATGAGGGATATATCCTTAACATGATAGAATATGCATACTGTAGCTGAAAAACCAGTTTATTTGGTGGGGAAAATTTAGAGGAATTTCCAGTAATATCTAAGAACAAGGCAAGAAAGTTCACTCTCCCTGTCACTACTCAATGCAATCAACAAGTGAAACCAAGAGCCTTCACAAACACAAGCAATACAAGTTAAGAACATATAATGATTGAGAAAATGCCATTTAAAATAGCAGGAAAGAGGCAGAAATAGTTCAGAATAAAGTCAGCAAGAAACGTGCAAAACCTATAAAAAGAAAATGTTTAAAAACTTTGCAAACTACTAAAAAACACAAAAGTATACTTGAACATATAAAAGGCACCCTCTTTAATTAGATAGGCTGAGCCAGCATTATAAAGATGTCATTCTCCCTAAAATAATTTGTAAATTAATTGAAATCTTAGTAAAATATTTTAATGCTGATATCAAAATTCATGAAACCAACATTCAAGAGTAAGCAGGAAAACACTGAAAAGGGAAAACCCCAAGGGGAGCCAGCCCTCACAGATATTAACACATCCCATGAAATCTCAGTAATTAAAATGGTGAAGTATTATTGAATAAACAAGTAGACCAGTGAAATAAAATAAACAGAATTAAACTCAAACGCCTATAGAAATATTGTATATGACAAAGGTAGTATCTCAATCATAGGGGTAAATGTGAGCTCTTTATTGGTGCTGGGACAGCTGAGTAGCCATTAGAAAAAAAAATTAAATGTCTCACACCATACAGAAGACAAAATTGGGTGCTTGGGTGGCTCGGTCAGTTAAGTGTCTGCCTTCGGCTCAGGTCACGATCCCAGGGTCCTGGGATTGAGTCCCCCATTGGGCTCCCTGCTCAGCGGTAAGCCTGCTTCTCCCTCTGCCCCTCCCCACCTCGTTCTCTCAATCTCTCTCTCTCTCTCTTTCCCTGTCTCAAATAAATAAATAAAATCTTAAAAAAAAAAAAAAGAAGACACAATCCACATAGCTCAGGAATCCTAATGCACAAATTGAAAGCACACAAGCGTGAGGAGAAAACGTCCCTGAATTCCTCTTGGTGTAGGGGAAGATTTCTTAATGGGACTCAAAACGCAGAGGCAATGAAAGACTAATAAAATAATAATTAAAATAAGAAGTTAAAATTTAAAAAAAAATTCTTGAAGAGAAACGCCATTGACAACAAGTGATGTATTGGATAATATTCCATTGTATGAATAAACCAACTGTTCCTTATCCATTTATCCATCGACAGACACTGGGCTGGTCCCGCCTCTTGGCTGTTGTGAATCGTGATGCTGTGAACATGTGTATACAGTTATCTCTCTGACATCCTCATTTCAATTCTTTTGGATAAATACCCAGAGGTGGCACTGCGGGTTCCGTGTGGAATCTGAAATAGCCAAACTCGTGGTGACGGAGTAGAATGGGAGTTGGCGGGGTTGGGGGAGGGGAAGGGGAGGGGTTGCTAGGTGGCTATAAAGTTTCACTGATGCCTGATGAGTAAACCTTGGAGATCGGCCACACAACCCAGTGCCATCACTAACCATTCAGTGTTGTCCACTTAAACATTTGTTAATGGGCTTGATCCCATGTTCAGTGTTTTTACAGTTATCAAAAAGAAAGAAAAAATGAGGCAGTGATCAGCATGACAAATACACCCCAGGAGGAGATCTAGGAGGACTTAAGGTTGACCATGGACAGTCACCAGGGGGCTACTGTTGACCTCAACGGGACAATTCCAGTGGGAAGCAGCCAGCTTAGACACCAGGGGCTCCAGGGAGGCTGGGAGAAGAGAAGGTTGGGATGGTGATGAGCACTGGGTGTTATATGCAACTAGTGAATTGTTGAACACTACAGCAAAAACTAATGGTGTACTCCATGTTGGCTAACCGAACATAATAAAAACAACAAAGGATGGTAAGTAAGGGAAATTCTTGAGGATGGCTGCTCCAAAGAATAAACAGAAGAGTGAATAGTGAGAATAGTCAATAGTGAGAATAGGGAAGTGGCCACTGGAGAGGTTTGTGGATCTGTGGTCCTCTCCTCCCCTTTACTCAGTAACACAGAAGGAATGACAGCAGTGCTTGAGGTCCTGCAGGTGAGTTACTATGTAGGTCTAACCACCGCAAGACCCCCTCCCCAACGAGGCTCAGGGCGGGATCCCAAGAACAGGAATGGCGAGTGCAGGCTCAAGGAGCTGTGGTTACTTCCATAAGCTCTCCCAGACACTGGGGCATTGCTCTCGGAACCTGAAAGGAGGGTGTGACCCGTGAAGGCAGGGAGATGTCCCCTTCGCTCTGCTTTCTGACCGACCGGCTTTGGAACCTTAAAGGTTCCATAGCAATGATGTTCAGGTAGAAGTCTTAAGAGGTAAGTGTCCCACCCAGGTGGCACTTCCACGACACCTGGTTGAAATGGCCACGCTGCCCAGCGTAGGAAGTGGCTCACAGGATGAGCCGGGACCCAGCCGAGCTGCCATGCCTAACAGGAACCTCAGAAGCAGTCACGGGGATGGAGTTCCCTCATCCCATCCCAGGGCCCGGAGATGCCACCAGATGGTGGCGAGGGGCAAATCGGTTGACACTTCATTCCCTTGACACCATGGGCTTCCCTGGGGTCTCACGAAGCCCATTCATCATTCAGGCTCAGAGATTCCCCGAGCCAGACTTTCTCCTTCTGTGTGACCACCTCTGCAAGCACAAGTCAGTCTGTTCAAACTGGCTGATCACCCAGGGAGTTTCCAACCTTGGACCCTTGGCTTGAGCCCAGATCCAGTGTGGCGCCCAGAAAGCTCACTGCAGAATGAAAGGGCCCCCTGGGCAAGGAAGCCTGTTCCATGTGCAGAACTGGGTGCTTGGGCCAGAGGGGAAAGCTCTGAGCCCTCATCCCTCTGACTTCCAGGTTTCAGGGTCACAGGAACAGCATCAGTGTCTGTCAGGACCGCCCACCCCACTGGGCAGGGAGCTGGAACAGAGTTTGGAAGCTACCCTACCGCGTTCCTTCTGCGTGCCCTCGGGGTTG